AAATGGTTGGGGAATTTGTCCTTGGAGTGTTGTCACATTTTCGATCCCGATTTTGTTCTTGAGGACGGGAGAACAATGATGGAATCCTTGGAACAGCGTCCCCAAGGGGTGTTTAACGATGCCCTAAGCTATGATTTGTTCTTTCGGATACCTTAGCGAGCGCGCTTAGTTTTCGTTTGCACGCCTGTAGGTGGGACCGCTAGGTGGACATTGAATCCCCTCGCAAGAAGCTATGACTTCTTTTTTCGCACACCTTAGAGAGAGCGCTCCGACTTCTTTCACACGCTTGTACGTGGGACCGCTAGGTGGACAATCAATCCCCTAGCAAGGAGCTATAACTTTTTATTTTGCACTCCTTTGCTAGCGTGTTCGAATTTCTTTTGGACTTTTCAATTTCAAATTTGTCGTAGTAATTAAACATAGTTTTCACTGACATTTTGCATAAAGAGAAGGGGATGGGAAGGTAGAAAGGCCATATCGGTCTTAAGTAATGCTCATTGTGGCATGAAGGGGGTAGAGCTATTGTAAGCGTTGTGATCCGATCTCTACTATCACTTGGGCATGACAAGATATTTCCAGGTGTAGATGGACGCAGGAAAGGAGATCAAGAAAGAGTGTGTTGGGAGGGACCAAGGTTCAACGAGATCATGAAGAAGAAGAAGGTGCGAAGAAGGGAGAAGAGGACAATTACACTTTGCCAACGAAGGCACGAACAAAGGGGAAGAAGAGTGCTCAAAAGATTTGCATGCGAGATATGCGTCACTTCTTCGTCTCTTTCGCAAAGTTAGCTTGGCGGGGTAACAATCGCTGAAAGATGTTGCTCGGTGTACGGCGACTATGATCGTCGATGATTAGGCAAGCGTTAAGGAGATAATGGCTGATTGGTAGAGGTGTCACATATGTGGGCGTTGTGTAACTTACTTCCCCTGATTGATTCATGTAATTATGAGTGGAGGTTGTGCATGGCAAGGATGCTATTTCTTCTTCTTCATTTTACAACTCCTTTAAGTTGTTTCAATTGTTTTTGTATACGATTCGTTAATGTGTTGTACGTGATTGTCTCTATTTAATAAACTGCATAAGATTGTCGATTATGCGCTTGTCAATGAGAAAGTAATGTGTTTTTTGCTCATGGAGCGAAAGAATAACGATATGCACCTTAATATCTTATTACACTCTTTCGCTTGCAAGATGAACGCGACAATGGTTGTACTTCTGTAGTACGCGCTTGAGCGTTTGGACTTCGTTGGATATGAACGTGTGAATTTCTCTCAATGATCTTTCCTTTGGAGGTTGTTTTATCTCTCAACGTCTGAAATGTTGGATGCCTAATGAAGTTTTTTTTTTTTTATCTATTTTTTAGCTCATCAGTTTGAATGAATATGTTTCCCCTATAAAACAATCTTATTTGACTCTTTGGACTGTAGAAACATGGGGCATCTTCGTTACACTCCTCCGATTGCGAAAAAACTTGTACCGAACGTTCGCTTATCGCTCTCACGTGTAAAGTAACAAGCCAACGTGTAAGTTTCAATCTTTAAATTTTGTTTACGGTGGATGGAATGTATACTATTGCTTCATCAATGAATAGGTGCACATGACACTCTTGCTACACTTCCATTCGCATGAAAGTCGGTAGTTGTAGATTGCCACTTCCATCCGTAATAGTTGCCCACATTTGGTGTTCTTTATTCTTGCTGTGTGTAAGAGACAAACCTCCTTTTGTTTTGTGAATGGTGGATGGGTGTGATGAAGTTTTGTTTTCTTATTGATATCGAGTATCTGTCATGTGCTTAAGAGAGGATGATGCTCCCTCATACGTTTGAACACTTTGTTGGAGTGTACAAAGGTTTTGCGCTGTGTCCTAGCAATCATCCTGAGCCGCGGCCGAAGTTTTCATACAACGCGTAAAGGATACGTGTTTGCAAGTGGGATGTATGAGAGGTTACGGCATGGATCGAGCGACCCTACCCGTTTTCTTTGGAAGGTTAGTGCTCAGGTTGCCTTAACACAAGATTTGTGACTATCGATACCGTGACAATCTTCCCTCCTTTCTCAATTCTTCCGGCTTTCAACGAGCTTATTGTCATCCCTTGGTTTGTGATAACTCCTCATTGGCCCCGTGCTTTGTGTTTGGATTGTTAACGCATAGAGTATTTAAAGAAGAGTTGCTTCCACTACGCGCGACGTAAAAACACAACGTTTCGGAACGAGCAGTGCAACTGCGCCCATCCGACCCCGACTCCGAGCTCTGCAAGACACATCGTTGAACCGTCATGCGTCGTCGGGATCCTTTGCGCACTCCCATACCTCTCCGCCCCGAAAAAAGGAGCCGAAATGCCGGACATGAGCTTTGTGAATTAGGTAGATATTGTCAACCCCCTATTTCATCTTTGCCCTCTTCGAACTGGAACCCATATCGGAGATTCCAGTTCCGACTAGGAATTCCACACCCATCTTTCCCAAAAATCCTTGGCACACCCCCATTTACGATGTTTCAGCCTCTCCTCCAAGAACAGGCTACAATTGCAAACGTACAGACCATTTCGCCCGAGAGTGTCCATATTCTCGGTAACCACCCCTCCATCAGCGACACCCGCTATCGCTATGGCTAATCGAGGTTCGATAACCACCCTGCTTTCTGAAGAGGGTAGCCACGCTTCTTCTTCCTCCACGCCTTCCACATGTGAACCATGGGGAGAATGAGTGGATGACCCGGGACTCTAGACCAGGATCATTGTCCAAGAATGGCGAGATAGATGGTGTGACGACCTTATATAAGCTTGACGTATGTGTCCCTATGCCTGCAGGTCACTTCCTAACAACTTCGGAAGTCGCCAACGAGAAGACGTTGCAACATGTCTGAAGATTTAGAAGCGATTTACCTATCAGCGGGTGCAATGAGGAATAAAGAGGAAGGAAGAGGTGAAAAAGGAACCTCAACCGGTCCTCCTTGCAGCCCCTTCCCCACAGCAGATTGTCGAAACAAGTAACCAAGAGGGTGCTTGGGTCGCTACCATTTCCTACGCTAAGAAAGATCATGATCATTTCATAAAGGTCAGTTCGATAGCGTGGAAAAGCTTAGTGTGATTGCAGAGTTTGAGCCTTCTCATTTATGGCGTTGATACTAGATCTGCAGTGGTAGCGCTGTCTATGAGAACGATCCTGAAAATGGAAAGAGAGTAGTACATCCTTCTTGAGAAGGATCACCATGTTTCAGGCGATGAGGAGAAAAGGAATATTGTCAGGATCACAGAAACTATCACTATCAAGGTAGGACATGTGCATGCATTGTGTAATGCACTAGGACGTGTGCATGCATTGTGTAATGCACTAGTGCTAGGCGTACAGAGCTATGATCTTTTACTGGGGTTGCCTTGGGCGACAGCAGTTGGAGCCCGATTGCACTTTGATACACACCCTTTATTCTAACCAGGATGGGTAATAAGCCAATCACTCTTCCCCTTTTATTAGCAATTTGCAAAGCTTCGTATCCGTTGCACCCGCTGATAGGTAAATCATCCGGATTAATGTACGTTTCCCACACACACACACACACACACACACACACACANGTTTTGTTTTTTATTGCCCGCTCGTGAAAGGAAAAAAGAAAATAAAGGAAGACACTTTCTCTACTGCAATGATGACGGGCAGGGTAGTCTAGGAGGCCGTGTTCTCGGAGGCCGTGCTCACAGTAGTTTTCCTGTCTCTTATACACATCTAGATGTGTATAAGAGACAGGGTCGGGAGAGAGAGAGAGAGAGAGAGAGAGAGAGAGAGAGAGAGAGAGAGAGAGAGAGAGAGAGAGAGTAGGGGCCCATCTTCCCCCAAGCAAAACACACCCTGATACGGAATGTATACCAGCTATATTTCTCGTCAGGTGCAGCAAAAATGAGGGTGCATTGTGTTGAGGGTTGGGGGGGGGGTAATCGATATTCCGCGGGGAGAGAGAGAGAGAGAGAGAGAGAGAGAGAGAGAGAGAGAGAGAGAGTAGGGGCGCGTCTTCCCCCAAACAAAATGCACCCTGATATGGAATGTATACCAGCTATATTTCTCGTCAGGTGCAGCAAAAATGAGGGTGCATTCTGTTGGGGGTTGGGGGGGGGGTAATCGATATTCCACGGGTAGAGAGAGATAGATAGATAGATAGAGAGAGAGAGAGAGAGAGAGAGAGAGAGAGAGAGAGAGAGTCTAGGGGCCCATGGCTCAACAGGCGGTGGGAACCAACAGTCTGCGGGGTTCAGTTGTGTGGTGTGAGTAGGTGATGTACTGCTTTGTTGGGTGTTGGATGTATGGACGACCTTATATATGCTCCGCCTATGCCTTGCTGCCCATCCCTCTTGCTTCTCCCTGCCTTGAACTGTGCTGTTGCCTGGCAACCCATCTGTGTGGCTCGTCTTCGCATTCACTTCGCTTGTGTGCCGTGTTTGGCCACTTTGCAGCACCGCAGCACCGGTTTGTGCTTCAGATTTGTTGCCTTGCTGTCTGTCCGCTTGCGTTTGCAGTTCGCTTGGTGTTGTGCAGTTTTGCATTGCCTGGTGCTTTGTTGCGTCATTGCAGGCTGCTGTGTTCTACTTGCGATGTTGCCTGTAACTTGGTACATGATATTTGTATTAATTTGAGAATATCCTCGAAGATAGAGCTTGGCGATAAAGTGAAATTCTTGTCTACACTTATCAGTCTTGGAAAAACCAATATTACAATGGAAGCACCTATCTCTGATATAATAAAAAACCTGAGTAGATCTGGATTTTGTGATCAAGCGGGTAAACCACATGCCAAATTGGCCTGGGTGAACTTGGATATTGCAAAGATTCTTAAAAAATTTAATCAGATTCTACAAGGTGTTTGTAATTATTATAGTTTTGTACACAATCGTACCAAGCTGCGTCGTGCTGACAATACGCTTTCAACAAGGGTCAACGGGTCTGCAGATTGTCCAAGGTTCAGCCTCCTGCTGAGTCACTGCAAGTTTGACAAAACATTCTTTCATCATCCTTTTGTTTTGTTTTTCATTAACATCAAGAGCTGGAGGCAGGGAATCCCTCCACATCTCAACCTGGGAAACCTTGAGCCATTACCCAATTTACGTGTTCGCTGATAACACCTAGCACCCAGTTTATTGTCCAGCGTCCCACATTCTGCTATATGCCAAAGCAAAACAATAAACTGGGAAAACAAAATTACAACCAGCGAGTAAAAAAAATAAAAATAAAAAAATTACAACCAGCGAAAAAAGGGGCAAATCTAGCACTAGATTGCATGCATCCCTTCGAAAATGCATAGCCCTCGACCTTGTGGACGCTATATCCTACGCCTTCTGTGACATATTGTACTTTATCCCGCCTGTTCCCTCTCATCAGCAATTAATGGGAGGAATCTAGCTGAACCCTAAACCCTAACCCTCCCCCGCCTTGTTCCTACGAATTATGGCCCCCCTATCCTTGTCCTATCTATACTGCGCTCTGTTTGAAAGTCCTACCTTATTACTCCGTAAATAAATCCACCTTTTCCTATCCCCTGTTTCATTCCCGCTTCGCGTTGGTCCCTCTGATCTCCATTTGAATGACAACCTTGATCTCTGGATAGTAGCACCTTATTCTGGCCCAAAACCTTCTGAACAAAGCGGGTCTCCAGTTCTTGTGCCTGATCTGGGCACTGTGAGATTTGTTTCTGTGCCCTTTTCCATTGTGCTATGGGATCCGTTTCTAGAAGATTGAGGAAAATCTCTCTTGCCTCTTGCCTGTGCATTGTTTATTTTTTTACCAATAGTGATCTCACAGCGCCTTTTTCGCGATCGTGCATAGAATGTACTGCCTTATCAGCTGAGAGACGCACTTCTCGAATGGCTGCCATCTCCTTGGGACGTCATAGCCTCGGAGTAGGGTGGTCCTGTTCTCCAGGAAAGCAGTCACTGCAACTTGCCCCCGGAGAGTCCTAGCCTTCTCCAATAGGCTTGCTGCCTCGGGGCGTGCCCGAAGACTCTGTATAATTTTTTTCCGGAGGCTCCTCTTGACATACTATGCATACATAATGCTTTGGCTGGGTCCCTCCCTCTGTGCCCTGCTCCTGCGGTCGTTCAGCCAGGCATTTACTGGTGGCACCACGTGCGCTATCAGCCGCTGCATGCTCCTGACGCGTCCCATGTGTATGGTGCTGATCAGCGACCAAGTTATTCTTGATAGGCTCTGGTAGCACCTCCGCTCTGTTCTCCCATCACTTTGACAGCACTGCCGCCAGGGGGTAGGAGTGCCTTCTCAATCGATAGCCTATACAAGTGGCACAATTTAGGATGTGGATCCTTCTAGCTACCCGCAGTCTTCCTCCCCTGAGGTTCCAAGCCCATTCCCCCCCCCTGGAGCCAGTTTCCAAATCCTCCACCAGGGTGGGCGCGGACGGGCAAAAGATTGTGAATTCTTCCGTTTCTACCACTCTTACTTTGCGCATCTGCCGCTGTTGAACAGTGATTGGTGTTTTCGTTGTCTTATCCAGGAGGCTGGACGTACTTCCCGGACTCGCGATGGTATACATGTCTGCATTCAGCCACACTCGTCTTTCCTCGCTCCTGGTTCCAAATTCTGAACGTTTCCCATGGTTGTTCCTCCTGCCGCCATGTGGCCAGATCGCCTAGCCCCCACCGAGGTCTCTTTCGTAGCAGTCCTATCCATTCCTGCGGGATCGATTCCAGAAGATCGTTGAGGTTTTTCAACAGTCTGTGGCTTCCTTTCAGTTCCGCTCCGAGTTCCCTGGCTGTCTTCCACCGCTTCTTCTCGTCCGCCCATAAGATGATTAATCTGCAAAACACCATGTTCCACCCAAGTTCCCCACTTGGTAGCTCTTGCTGTGAGTGTGAGTGGCTTGCCTTGTATGTCTCGGATTCTCGCGCTGCAGAAAAGGGGCTGACAGAGCACTTCCTCCCTCGTACGCGGCTCCTTAACTCTGGACGGGAAGATGTCCTTCCACAGCTTGAGCATTTGGCCCCAATAGGACGCCTCTCTTGATCCTTCAGCGCTGCCTATTGATGTTGTTTCCCCTCTGCCTACCTTGGCCCAATTACTGCACATCACCCAGAATAGCCCCATCATGTTGGAGGGTGTGCTATATTTCGCTAGCTGTCGAATTCGATCCAAGGCCAGTGGTACCCAGGGAAGCTTCTGATGGATGATAATCTTGACCCCCCATTTAATTTGGAGCGCCTCGGGTGTCTATACTGCCTACCCCTCCCTGCCCTTTCTCCTGAGTGACATGTCTCCACACCACTTTGGAAATGAAGTGGGGATTATTTGGGTTAGAGGTCCACAGGCAGGCTGTCACTCGTCTTCGGAGAGTTGGGGAACGTCTGTGCTGGGGGGGTCCAAATGGTCCCTGTATACCATAGCATTGAGAAGATAGACGCATTCAAGGCGACTGCCCTTCCAAATACTGCTGGGGGGGTCTAAATGGTCCCTGCTGACCAAGCTCCCAGCTTTGTGAGGATCTTGGACATCATCTCTGCTGCCATAGACTGATGTGGTCCTGCTTGACTGATCTTAACCCCTAAGTACCTAAGGGGCTCTTCTGCTGTCACCCATTCTAGTCCCTCCGGACTGATGGCCGGGTCTGCTCCTCGTCCTCTCTCTTGGTCTGTCAGCCACCAGCCCACTGTCTCAGGCCAGTTTATTTTCTTTTCGAACGCTAACCGGAAGGCCTCCATGACCTTCGTCAGAGCTTGAAATGAGGAGTTGGAGGCTCTGATCAGCACCATGAGGTTGTCTGCAAAGAGCAACATCGCGGGAAGGCGTATGAGGAGCCCTTGTTGATCTGGCTTAGTAATATTGACAGGTCTTTGTAGAGGAGGGAGGCCACTGCCTCCACAAAAAACAGGAAGGCGGGTGCTGCCAGGGGTCTCCTTGTCTCAGTTGTCTGTACATCGCTGATAGATGGCCATTGACTTGAACCTGCCCGTGCGCATCATTGTATAGGACTCTGATCATCTGTTTTTTTTTAAATTATTATTATTATTATTATTATTATTATTATTATTATTCTTTTCTGATCATCTGTTTTTATTTTCTCCAGTCTTTGTTTTTCTTGTCGGTTGTATTATTTTTTTCTTGTTTTCTGCGTTTTGCCTCGTTGCTTATTCTTTGCTCCTGCTTGGTTCACTGCTTTTTGGCCTTTGTTGCTTTGTGCTGCTTGTTTGCCCACCCGCCTCTTCTGTGCCCGCCAGCCTTCGCTGTTTTCTGCCGCTTGTCTGCCCACATGCCTCCCCCATGCCGTCCAGCCTTTGTGCTTTGCTCTTGCTTGCTGTTCATTGCCTTGCCTCCCTCCTTTTTGCCTTGCTGCTAGTTGCTTGTGCAGCTTGTCTGCCTCCCACTTGGCCACAAGCCTATGTGCCTGACACAGCCCACAATCTAATAAAGGATGAAAGGCATGCATCTCATGAATGATTCCGTTCACACGTTTGGTCAGCCTCGCACACGGCGCACCGTGCGTGACAGGGTGGGGTCCCCATGCTCATCTCCCCATATCCCATTGCATACCCACGCGCGAGGAAACATAAGTCGCTGACACACACAACCTCGCCAGGGGGTCGAAACCCTAAACACAAAGTGTCAAAAGACAATGCATAATATGCTGATCAGCCGCGAAGTTGTTGAAGCCCTGCATGAAAGACATGGCATGCAGCTGTCGAGAGGGTTTCCCCGTCCTCGCCATGTCTGTCACAAAACTTGCAACTGCATTACATGGTAGCATAAAAACATGGCAGGTCTGACTAGACACCTAAGTACAACATAGAAAATGCGTCACACGTCGATACAATGCGGAAAACTGTACACAAAAAGTACACATTCATTCTTCACACATGGTCGTTCACACAGTATGGCCACGTCCTGTATGCATCCAAATGGTATGCAAAAAACGAGTACACTATGGAAGCAATACTAGCAACAGGGGTAAAATAGCTGTGTTCCCTTGTAAACTACATAAACACCACACGGCATGTTCACGTTCAGGTACCTGGGAACCCAACCCTGCCAATTTTGAAGGAGGATACCCTGGATTCACTCAGGCTTCCCGCTGCCATCCTGCCACATGTTGCCTCGACTCATCTGTCTGACGTATCAGAGGTCTGTGTTGGGAAACGCCGAGAGAGAGAGAGAGAGAGAGAGAGAGAGAGAGAGAGAGAGAGAGAGAGAGAGAGAGAGAGAGAGAGAGAGAGAGAGAGAGAGANAGCAGATAGAACATACATCTAGTTCTGCAGCGATCTGTGGTGGTCTTCAGCCTGAGCTGGCGACTACCTGTCGAAGTCCATAGAGTGGTGAATGAGTACTTCATCAGGACATAGTTGTATCATAACTGACTGACTGAATTTCCGATTGCACGAAGCATTCTCAGGAGGATGTAATCTCCTTTCTGCTGCAGTTCATCATATGCCATTGTCCTGGTCCCTGGTGTCCACAGTGACTTCTCCACAATCGCAACTGCTGACCGAATGCTGTAAAAATTACAAAGCGGTGCCAAGTGGAAATGAGACAATCAGAATCAAAGAGAGAAATCAATCTTGGAAGATAAGTAGTAAATCAGTAAACTACAAAGTAGTACAAACTTAGGAGGGAATTCCCAACCACTCATCTGTTCTGAGTCCTCTGGCTCTTCTGAGCCTCAGAAAGGCCAACCTTTTTTCTTTCTTTTTTGTGGCTCAAAAGAGTCAGAACAGAAAAAAAAAAAAAAAGAAGAGTCAGAAGTTCAGAACAGATGTGGTTGGCCTTTATCGTAAATCAATCTTTGTCCTGCAGCGGTTGAAAACTCATAACGATAAACGCCAACCTTTTTTCATTTTTTTTTTCAGATTCCCCCCCCCTTTTTTTTAATAGTATTTTTTGATTTCTAAGCATATGGCCTTTGTACCATCGGTACTATAATACTATTCTATTCTGGGAAACGCCAGTCGAGTTACTTTTCCACCAGCAAGTCACACACATGTAGCAATACAATCAGATCAAAAACGACGATGGACAGCATCGATTGCGCACCGGTTTCCCGGAGGAAGCTGCGAGAAGACCACACAGGACATTCATTCCGCACCTGGTCTGGCAGTTTGTGTTCCCTACCGATGTGTGTGTCGTTTCTTCTCTATGTGGAGAGGAGAACATTCTTCATGCTTTTCTTCGCTCTGTTCCAAGAACGATGCTAATCTTGGTTGTTCTTCTCTGTGTTCAGTGAAACCTTTTTTCTTGTGTCTGTCCAGGGAACAATATTCATCGTGCTTTTTTCTTCCCTATGTTCCGAGAACAACGTTGGTCTGAGTCTTTTTTTTTTTTTTTTTTTGTCGAAAAAGCAGCGTCCTTGCTAGGAGAGGTGATAAGAGCACCCCCTCCTCGCAACAGACCTGGATGCTTCAATCTATTGGTGGGGAGCAGCACCTGCTGGAAAACGGGTCCAGCGTCCCACTCCACATCTGAAGTCCTGCCAGCATTGATTGCCCTATTACCGGGGGGATTAACCGTGCAGTAATAAAGAAGAATGTGGCTTGAGAATAGCAAGCTTTTGGGAGTGAAGCCGATTCTTCGGCCTGTACCAGACCGCCAGATAACACTCATTTCCCTAGCGACTCCACTTGCTTGTCTGAACTCTAAGTCTATAGAGAAGAGCTTCATCTACATATGTACCGAGGACGACATCAGTCTTCGCTTTTCTTCTTGTTTCCTGGCAACGAACAATGTTAGTCTTCGTTCTCTCCACCATCTTCACCGAAGAGCCCCTTCTCTACGTGCGTGCAGAGCATGACATTATTTATTTAACTTTCCTTGCTTTTCTTCCCTTTCTATGTTCCTCGAGCATTGTGGGTCTTTGTTTTCTTCTCTATGTTTAGAAGACACCCTGCAGAAATTCTCTTTGATGAGCTCATGTGGCCTTGGATCCGAAAGGTTCTGGGATACAGACGTACCCATGATACCCTTCATCCAAAGTGTACCCCTCATCCAGAGGTGACGTTTGATCCGAAAAAAAAGTTGTGACAATGGATCCAAAACAAGTTATGGGTTACTGAAGTACTCGTGATACAAAAGACCCCTCATCCAAATGTGTTTGTTCCCCTTTCATCCAAACGTGTACCCCCCTTGGATCTAAAAGGTTATGGAATACTGACATACCCTTGATACAAAATAACCTCTCATCCAAATGTGTTAACCCCCTCGTCCAAAAGCGCCCTTGGATTCGAAAGGTTATAGGTTACAGGGGTTCCCATAACACAAAATAAGTTTAAATAACTCCTCATCCAAAAGTGTACCCCTCATCGAACCTTGGCCTTGGATCCGAAAAAGGTTATGAGTTACAGACGAACCCATGATGCAAAAGGACCCCTCAGAAAACAAGTTTACCCCCCCCCAACCCCTCGTCCCCCCCCCTCCCTCCCCCCCCGATCTGGAAGTGGTCTTGAATCAAAAAATGTATCCCTCGGGCCCTCATTCAATAGCGTATTGGTTAGTGGACTTTCTTGTGCACCAGACTGTCGCTTGGTTCCAACAGAACGTGTGCCTATATTGTGACCGATGGGTACACTCCAGTGACTCCACCAGCAATCAGTCCTCGCGTCGAAAGAGGAGATCATGCCAGAGGGTACATATACCAAAAGGTTATGTGTTACGGACATACCAAACAGCCAGTGATTTATAACCCAAAAAGAAAACAAAAGAGGGTCTCAAGGAAGGTTAACAGGAACAAAAGGCTGGATTTCTCTCCCCTGGATGTTGCTCTTGGGGCAAATGAATAAGACACAAGAAAGAACTAACAGCAGAACAAATGACTCCACCAGCAATCAGTCCTCGTGTTGAAAGAGGAGATCATGACAGAGGGTACATATACCAAAAGGTTATGTGTTACGTACATACCACACAGCCAGTGATTTATAACCCAAAAAGAAAACAAAAGAGGCTCTCAAGGAAGGTTAGGGGGAACAAAAGGCTGGATTTCTCTCCCCTGGATGTTGCTCTTGGGGCACATGAATAAGACACAAGAAAGAACTAACAGCAGAACAAACTCACTCTTTCTCCATGCAAAATCTCTACTTGTCCCAGAGGAGGGAAGCGAAATGGAACGTACCCTGGAGCAGCTTCATGCTGTACCACAGACTCTGCCTCCTCCAGCTTGTCGAAAAATGCCACAGGTCTCCTGTCGACAGATTGATAAGATCGGAAAAGATACGGTTCGATAAGATAAAACTGGATAAGATAAGATTGGATTCGTTGGATCAGATGAGACTGGGATCAGTAAGATTGGAGTCAATGGCATATTACAAGAACATGTCACAGCGAAAACAAAAAAAGAAAACAAGGAACGTAACCGTTAAAGTCAGACCCAAAAAAAAAGAAGACGAGAAAGAAGAACAAGACGAAGTCATGCTGCAGCGTGAAGTTCAGACAAGTGCTCAATCGAAACGTTTTGATGAATGTGAAATCCTGAAAGGGATCTCACCGATTCTCACGCTTATTGTTAGCCCATCCACTCACCTGCTATAGAAAACCACACTTGGCATTCGTGTTCCGACCATAATTAGTGGCTCTCCCTCCCTCTGCAGCAGGGCAAGTAAACGACAAAAAGGCGATAAAAATGATGAAAACAACACACAAAGCAGTAAGTCCTTCGGGACATCCATGAAGGAAAATCACAATCTGTGTAGCACACCGAACATGTTTCAGGGATTTCCCGAACACCTGAACATGTCGAGGTGTTCGGCCGCACGCATCCCGAATGTTGTGTAGAATTGCAATACAAACAACTTTCGGCTGAGGGTCACATCAGAAATCCTCACCAAATCGGAGATACAAAAGAAAATAACAAAATCACACTAAGGGACCCCCCTTTAAACTGAAACAGTTTTCACCTTTGGCAGTAGCCCATGCAGATCCCAGGGGTCGATCCCTTGACCTCAGCTTACCTGTGTACAGTATCTGCACAGTTCCCTGGAGTTGAACCCGTGAACTGCACGATAGCCAGTGGTAAGTAGGTCGCCGTAGGTTGTAGGCTGTAGGGAGATTCGAACTGTAGACCTGTAAGGTAGGAGTCCAAGTAGAGTCCAGAGGCCTAGCTTTAGTCCTTCTAGAAGGTCGGCAAGTGGTCAAGTGGTGAGTCTAAGGTAGGCCCACGTTTTCAGACGAAGACAAGTGGCAAGGTCAACTGGTAGGACCTCAGTGCAACTGCACTGAGTCGACGGTAC